GGAACCCGGGCTGGCCTCAAACTTGTAATATTTCTTACTTTTTTTTTTTTTTCATTTTTCTTTTATTATTCATATGTGCATACAAGGCTTGGTTCATTTCTCCCCCCTGCCCCCACCCCCTCCCTTACCACCCACTCCACCCCCTCCCGCTCCCCCCCTCAATACCCAGCAGAAACTATTTTGCCCTTATCTCTAATTTTGTTGTAGAGAGAGTATAAGCAATAATAGGAAGGAACAAGGGGTTTTGCTGGTTGAGATAAGGATAGCTATACAGGGCATTGACTCACATTGATTTCCTGTGTGTGGGTGTTACCTTCTAGGTTAATTCTTTTTGATCTAACCTTTTCTCTAGTTCCTGGTCCCCTTTTCCTATTGGCCTCAGTTGCTTTAAGGTATCTGCTTTAGTTTCTCTGCGTTAAGGGCAACAAATGCTAGCTAGTTTTTTAGGTGTCTTACCTATCCTCACCCCTCCCTTGTGTGCTCTCGCTTTTATCATGTGCTCATAGTCCAATCCCCTTGTTGTGTTTGCCCTTGATCTAATGTCCACATATGAGGGAGAACATACGATTTTTGGTCTTTTGAGCCAGGCTAACCTCACTCAGAATGATGTTCTCCAATTCCATCCATTTACCAGCGAATGATAACATTTCGTTCTTCTTCATGGCTGCATAAAATTCCATTGTGTATAGATACCACATTTTCTTAATCCATTCGTCAGTGCTGGGGACATCTTGGCTGTTTCCATAACTTGGCTATTGTGAATAGTGCCGCAATAAACATGGATGTGCAGGTGCCTCTGGAGTAACAGTCTTTTGGGTATATCCCCAAGAGTGGTATTGCTGGATCAAATGGTAGATCGATGTCCATCTTTTTAAGTAGCCTCCAAATTTTTTTCCAGAGTGGTTGTACTAGTCTACATTCCCACCAACAGTGTAAAAGGGTTCCTTTTTCCCCACATCCTCGCCAACACCTGTTGTTGGTGGTGTTGCTGATGATGGCTATTCTAACAGGGGTGAGGTGGAATCTTAGTGTGGTTTTAATTTGCATTTCCTTTATTGCTAGAGATGGTGAGCATTTTTTCATGTGTTTTCTGGCCATTTGAATTTCTTCTTTTGAGAAAGTTCTGTTTAGTTCACATGCCCATCCCCAAGTGATAAGATGAAAGGCAAGCTTGTGCCACCACACTCTGTGGCTAAACCTCTATTCTTTATAAGCTACCCAGTCTCATGTATTTTGTTATAAACATCAGAAAGCAAACTAAGGGGCTGGGGATGCAGCTCAGTGCTAGAGCCCTTACCTAGAACATATAATGTCCTGGGCTCAATCCCCAGCACCACAAACAACAACAAAAACAAGAAAAAACTAAGACATGTGCCATAGTTTATTTAGTAGTATTCTATATAACTAGTCCTCAATTAGGTTGTTTCTAAATTATTTCTGTTAACGGTGCTGCCATGTCCTCTATCATACCCTGTCTGGAAACGTCTTAAGATACGTTCTTGGAATTTTATTGCATGGATAAAGCAAAGCAATGATTCTATGATAGTGGAATTTTAGTCATCTGTGATAGGCATAGATGAGATATTTTTACACTGCAGTTTTGGGTGTGTCAGACTCCGGCTGTGGGTTTGATTGTCTGTGGGGCTCCTCTCTGGTATATTTTATGATAGATGAAATAATACCTGTGGATTTGAGAGTATTCTCTGAAGAGAAAAACGGGGGCTTCTTGGAGCCCAGTCCAGGTTCACTTTTGGACCTTGTCTTACCTTATGTCCAGAGGAATATACTGGGGCTGGAAGCATGTCTCGAGCAGCAGTGTACCTGCCTAGTAAGTGCAAAGGCCTGAGTTCAAACCCCAGTTATGCCAAAAAAAAAAGGATGAGACCCCTGGGGCCATCCATACATCAGCAGGTTTACCACAGGTTGTTACCACAAACTTACGAAGTTCAGAATTTAGTTCTCAAACAAATGGTTTCAAGAGACCCTGGTCCTACATTCACTTTGTAAGAAGTAGGTGGATGGTCCATGTTATTCCTAAAATGCACCGAGGATGTGATTCCTAACACCACAAGATGGATGGATGGATGGATGGATGGGAGGGTGCATAGATGAATGAGTGGATGGGTGGATGGTTAGATGGGTGGATGAATGGATGAAAGGAAGGAGGGAAAGAAGGAGGAAGGGATGAGTGGATGGGTGGATGGACAGGCAAATGCATAGACATGTAGATACATAAACTGGATAGGTAGATGCAAATCAAACAAACATGAATTTAAATCTGCTTTTGGATTTGGGCTCTACCTGCTAATTATGGGAGTTTACGTAACTTCTTTGACTTTCCTGAGCTTTAGTTTCCTTATCTGCAATGAGATTGACAATGCTTATCTTGGGGGCTGAAATAAAAAATCAACAGATGGTGTGCATAAAGGCCCCAGCATGGAGCCTGGAACTCAGGGGTACCCATATATGGTAGTATTTGCTTATCATTTACTCTAAGTAAGCATTCCCTGGTTGGTATATTAAGGACTTTTCTTTTACAATAGTCAATATAGATGTACTTCATCTGCTTGACTCCTGCCTTCAAGGGATGATTCTGTAAGGTAGGGACTTTCAGCTTTCTTTCTCTCCCAGGATGCATGGTGGGTGGTCCACTCCCAGCATGCATTTCACAGGGCAGATTTCTAGCTACACTTATTTATCTCCAGGCCAGGAAATTAATCTATAATCCACTTACACTTATATTAGCACAATAAATAAATAAAGGAAAGGAAAGGCAACAACCCTCAGATGTTGGTCTTTCAGGTTAAAACTTATTTGCCAAGCAGCACCTGGCTTTCACCTGCTGATGGCTAGAGCCATAATGGGGCAGGTCGGGGGCTGATAGCAGTGGTGTCTCATTTCCATAGTGTGGGTAAACTCCATTTTTCCTCCAGATATGAAGAGAGTATAGTTATTGAAAGGCTCTGGCTGCCATCTTCCACAAGGATATGGAACTGTTCACTCCTTGGCCTTTGCTGAGTTCCAGGCTGAGGTGCTAAGTCCTCTGCTGCACTGACTGTGGGAGACACAGATATCCAGGACCTTACTGGTGACTCACTGTTTGGCTGGGGGTCAGCCCTGCTAGGCCCAAGCACACTCTTCAGTCCAATAGGCAAGAGTGAGCTCCACCTTAGACTTCCTTAGGCCTTCTCATCTTCCCCTGAGACATGGAATCCATCCTCACCTGATCCTTCCAGGCACCCCTACCCCAGTCAGCAGGACTAACTGTTCTTTGTTCTTTCCTTCATATCCTCTTTGTTCCAGCAGTATTAAAGCACTCATGTCAGTTTTAAATACATGTCTCCCACCTTCCAGGGCAATCTTCTTTTTGTTTTGTTTGTTTGAGATTTTATGCAACCCCAAATCTTGTTAAAGTGACCCTGGAGCTTACATGGTTTTCTATCTATGAGATTAGAGTTGGAAACATAAATTGGTGGTTTGGAATACCAGTGAGTACTTCTCTTTAGACAGAGAGTTGTTGGAAATCAGGCCTGTCCAGAACCCTCACAATGAAAACTGCCCTGGAGTCATGCTTTCTCCCTTGTACAGTCTTTTTCCCTTCTGCAGTCTCCCTTCATCCAGTCATTCAACAAATACTGACTGAATCCTGCTTTTGCATCACCATGCAAGGTACTGGGCCTGCATGGATAAAAGGAAAAACATGGCCATGCTTTAGAGATCAACACAATATGTCTTTGGAGTGTGCATTTTGTTTATGCATTGAAACCACTATGTCTGGGGTATAAGAAGTCAACTTACAGGGTTCCTTTCTGGTGTAATTTCCTAGAGCTTTGAGACCATCTCTATTTTAATTTTTTGGTGATACTAGACTTTGAACTCATAACCTCACACTTGCTAGGCACTGAGCCATGCCCCCAGCCCTTTTTGCTTTTGTTATTTTGGGGGTAGGGTTCTACAGCTTTGCCCAGGGCCAGCCTCAGATCTGGTTCCTCCCACTTATGCCTCCCTCATAGCTGGGATGACTGTATAATGCACCACCACACCTGGCTTATTGTCTAAAATGGGGTCTTGCTAACTTTTTTTGCCTTGCCTGGCCTCAAACCATGATCCTCCCAATCTCTACCTCCCAATTAATGGAACCACAGGCACAAGCCACCACTCCCAGCTCCTGACCTCATCTCTATTTTTAAAAATAAATTTTTTAACTTTTTTTTTTTGACAGTACTGGGGTTTGAATTCAGGTCTTCTGCATTGCGAGGCAGGTACTCTACCACTTGAGCCTCCAATATTTTAAACTTTTAACTGTGATTTTTAAAAACACACTCTATTTTAAAAATCTATGATATTTATTCATTTGCTAAAAGTCTGTATATATCTCTGTGCATAGATAGAACAGGGAAGAGGAGTAAAAAAGAAAACCCCAAACTCCTATCTTCTAGGAACCTCAATCTAAAAACAGAAGACAAATAATGGGCCTGTTATTTCATCTGTGATTGCCAGAGGTGTTTGCTCATTTGCTCCCTCCCTCCAAAGTGATTTTGGAATGTACATGTGTATAGGTTGTGATGGGTACTCTGGAGCCTGGGGAAAATGTCTAAGTTGTATCCCTGTCTTCCAGGCACTGAGGAAATAAATGAGTTCACAGTCAAGTAGAGTATTAAGCCCCTGTGACTGAGGGCCAAAACAAGAAGTTCAAAGAATGTTCTAAAAGTGAGGAGGTCCCATGAGAGCCTGGTGGCAACTCCACAGTGACAGGGTCTTCAGAGAGGGACAAAGGACATTCCAGGTCAGGGGAAGGGCAAGCAGAGGTCACCAGCCATTAGGAATTTCTCACTAGAAACTGAGCCTTGACCATGGCAAGAACTTGCCCCCAAAACAGCACCTCCTGCAGGCAGCCTAGGAGGTGGAATCTGACTAGGTGCCTACAGGGAGGCTATGCTTTCTAACCAGCTCCCCTTTCTCCTGTCACCCAGGTTCCCTGTGGCCCATTCTAGGATGACATGGCAGCTTTCATACTCCACCTGAAGTCCTGCCTTCCCTCTGCCATAAGGAGCTTGATTCTACCAAAAAAAGCATACATCAGAAACACATCTGGCATGGCTGGGGGTAAGTGGAGGGGCCAGATGTTTTTTAAATTCATGGAAATACTAACTGCATAGGCCCAGATGTCCTGAGACTTTTAGCCTTTGTATGGGGTAGAAAGGAAGCATGCCATGAGCTCTGGTGACTACTTAAGTTCTCAGAAAGATCTGGCACCCTGGACCAGATTCAAGACACAGAAACCTCATGAAGTCTAGGGCCACCCAATTCTGCTTGATCCCCAGGGGCTCAGATGATTGCAGAGGTTTTCTTTCCTGGGAAAATGGCCCTAAGTGATGTTTGCTTTTTCCAACTTTGATTCTGATAAGCCTCACTACTCTTCCTGGCCTTGTTCTCTGGGTAGCAGCCATTACCTCACTGTCTCCCAGGAGTGACCCCCCAAGGCTGAAGGGTCCTGTCAGAGAAAACACATGTCAAATTTTTCACTGACCTAAGTCCCAGCAAAATTTCACAATAAAAACATACTTTTCTGGTTATGGCAGAAATGCCCAAAGGAAAAATCAGCAGCAGGTTTAAAATGCTACAGGCCAATTTTCATTTAGTTTATTGACATGCCTAGCCTCTGTTGCTACTCATAGGCTAACAGTCATCTATTATTGCACAACAAAGCACCCCAAATCTTCGTGGCTTAAAACTCGGGCTAGGCTTAGCAGAGTGGTTCTTCTGTCACATAGTGTCCACTGGGGCTGGACCATCTAAGGTGGTTTTCTCCTTACCTGTCTGGTGTCCACTGGGATGACTGGACCAGCTGGGCCTAACATGTCATTCTTTCTATGAAACCTCTTCAACAGTAGTATCCAAACTTCTTTCCATGGTAGCTCAGGATTCCAAGAGAAGTATTCTGGGAGGATAAGCTCTAACACTGAAGCATGTATCAAAACTGTTTTCATCAAACTTACTAACATTCCATTGACCAAAGCAACTCACATAACCAAGGCCCAAGTCGATGGGGAAGGGACTCTAGTAAGCTATGAATACAAGGAAGCATAATCTATAGAGAAAGGGCCACCACAGTCATAGTCTACCACAAGCCATTATACACAGTTAGCAAACACTAGCTTAACTGCAGGTGATAACTGCTTGCTGTGTCCTCAGGAAGCCATAGGACAAAACAGACAGGGCCTCCAGCCCTGAATGTGAATCACAACCTTGCTCCTTACCAGTAACAAAGCTGTGAGTAAACTCTGTAACCTTTCCCAGCCTGTCTCTAAAATAAAAGTAGCAACAGACTCTCTCTATGGCACCTCAGAAGGGCCACCTGGAAGGTAAGTTAGTTGCTCTGCCCATACCACCTGCAATGGTGGAACAATCTACAGGAAGGAAACTCACTTTACCCAACAGCTAGAAAACTCCAGCCTAGAACTTTCTTCTGGGGCTTTAAATCAGATTAGGAACATCACACCGTGTTTTTTTCCTCTTGTTATTAAGTTTGAAATTTTGATTTTGGGGGTAAAAAAATGCAGAGGAATCACTCCATTTCTTTCCACAAAGAGAAAATGTCCTGTCATTAAATGGAACCCAAGAGATCTACGGTCATGAATCAACATCAGACTAAAAAGCACCCTCACCAAGAAGTGAGATCTCTGGGTAGGCCCCCCTCTCCAAAAAGGGACCACAAACGCCTCTAGTCCATGTCCTGTTACTAATGGGGGAAACTCAGGGACTTTTCTATTCATCTCCAGCCATAGAGAGGATGGAAACCTAAACACAAAGTCCCTGAAGAGCATTTAATTAAAAGGGAACAAAGAAGTTTTGTGGATCTAATGCCTCCCTGACTCATTGTATTTAAAATCCAACTTGTCTTCACAATAGGCTTTGAGGAAGAAGTGGTAGGTGGGGAAAGGAGGGCCTCCAGGCTGGCTTTTTTCTTTCCACCTCACTTCATTGAAACAGAGACAGCTCCCTTGGACTTTGGGCAGCTGTGGTGGTGGTGTGTGTGTGGCGGGGTGGTCCTCATTTGGAAAGTCTGTTTGTAGCACTGGCAAGTGCAATGGGGTCTGAGATCATGACTTTCAGGCACAGATGGCTAGGATGGGAGTCAGTCCTGGATTTTAAACCAGCAGATTTCACTCTGCAACTCTTAGGAGAAAGGTGCCAAACGTGGTGGACCCATCCTAAGAAGGTCCAGAGGCCATGGCACAGTAAATACACTTCAGTGATGGAGTGGGAAGAATTCAGGGATCACCTGTCCCTGGTTTAAATCCTGGCTGTGCCTCATACCAACTGTGTGACCCTAGGAAAGTCATTTCTTCTCTCAGAGCCTCATTTCCCTCAACTATAAACTGTAAGTGATTACATATGTAAATTACTTACCACAGAGAATCTGGCACACAATAAGCACTTGGTAAATATTAGCTAACAATATGATTGCAGAAAAGAAATGTTCACATGTTGATAGAGCAAATCTAGCAGTTAGGAGAATTGTCTCTAGTCATTTGTCCAACAGAACACAATTATATTTTTGTTTGGTTGGGTCTTAGTCTGTTTTCTGTTGTTATAATAGAATACCTTATGCTGGGTAACTTATAAAGAAAGAGGTTAGTGCAAGGTTTGGGAAGCTGAGGAGGCCAAAAGCCTGGAACTAACATCTAGCAAGGGCCTCATGCTGCTTCAACTCATGGTGGAAAACAGAAGTGGTACTTATCAAAGGGAGCTAACAGGAAGGGTGGGGACTTGCCCGAAGGGTAATTAATCCAGCCCCCCTGAGCTCAGGAACTAATGTAATGCACAGGAGATGGCATTAATCCACTCATGAGGACTTTGCACCCATGACCTAAACCTCCTACTAGGCCCATCTCCCAACACTACCACACAGAGGAACCAGAGATCCAACACATGAACTTCTGGGGCCACAATCAGACCATAGTAGTCTTTATTATATGATATTGAGGAAAGCACAGAGAAGAAAGTCAAAATCACTTAAAGTCTTGTTACCCAAAGACAAACATGATTAATATGTAAATCTATGTCCTTCAGGTTCTTTCTCTCATCAATTTTATAAAAAGGAGAACATGTCAAGCTTACCATTTTGTTATCTAGAATTATGCTTTTAGCAATACATCAGAAACATCTTTCAATATAATCAATAAATATTTTTCTGGACCATAATTTTAAGCATCTATGGACATTTAAATGTTTATGAATGTATCTCCACCCCCTGCTTCCTGAACATTGGTGTGTTAACTAATTTCCATGCCTTAATTCACTGAGGTCTCTTTGAGGTAGGTGTGATTACTGCCATCTTCCACATGGGAAAACAGACCAAGAGATGAAAAGCCACTGCCCAGGGTCAAAGAGCTGTTAAGACTGTCTTTGGGGTGGGGGGAGGAAATTGAAGATTATATGAGCCTGCTCATTCAAGAATCAGGAATCAATCTGCCCAGACAAAAGACATCAACAGTGTCTTTCCCCAAAAGATTAACCAAATGGCCAATGACACAGATGAAAAGGCACTTGGTCACACTGGTCATTAAGGTGATGCATATTACAGTCATGATGTGACATCACTCACTACACAGCAGCCAGATGGCCAAAAAAAAAAGACAAGAAGCAATCCCAAGTATGGGAGGCACCCACCACTGGTGGGAGTGCCAATCGATATAGCCACTTTGGAAAACTGCAGGGCAGTATCCAGTAAAGCTGACTGTGCATTTACCCTACCATCCAGGAATACACCAAGCAGAAAGAAAGGCACATTGTTTCTCAAAATGCTCGCTCTAAAATGATCATGGTAGCAAATTTGTAACAACCCCAAACTGGAAACTCCTCACGTGTGCATCCACATTAGGCTTGGGGAGATAGTCATTGTGTTATATGCCATTCATCAATGATTATGAATGGACTACTGTTAAACACAGCAGTGTGGATGAAGCTGCCAAATGTATTGTTTAGTAAAAGAATTAGGGCTTAAAAGACACATGGAATATGGTTCTACTATATGAAATCTGAGGACAGGAAAAGGTAATATGTGGTGTTAGAAGTTGGATAAGTGGCCACCTTTGAAGGGGATGGTAGGTGTAAGGGCCAGGACAAGTGTATCTGGGTACTGACAATATTCTGATGCTGGTTGTGTTCATTTGGTGAAAAATTCACCAAGCAATACATTTAAGTGTCCTTTTCTGGGTGTCTGTAATGCATCAATGAAAAGTAGAATTTAAAAGGATCTGCCAGGCAGCAACTGAGTGTGTCTTTCCTCCTTCTCCCACCTAACCCAGGGCTCCAACCAGCCAGTGTGGTGGTCCTGCCCAGATCCCTGGCACTGGCCTTCAAAAGCTTCTGCCAGGCCAATAGTGGTCCTCTGCCTCTGCTCAGCCAAAGTGAGCAAGACAAGTGGATGCTGCCAGCCCTGGGCACTGCTCCAGAGGCCAGGTAAAGAGCCACAGTTTCAGGGAGTAATGTTTCAGGGTGGGAAGCTGCAACCAGGTATCTCTGTCATCAGACTTCTTGGTCCAGCCTTAGGGACCCCCACAGTGCCTGGCAGAGAGCCTCACTCATGACAATTGCATGGGAGCAAGCTTCCCTTCCCATCATTCCCCATCACCTCCTGTCCTCTGACTCTATCTCCTGCCCTGCCCCAGGGTAAAATCTTTGGGATTCTAAGAAATCCTTTGGGCATAGCCATCTGTCTTTTTATCACCCACACCAGAAAGCTGCCTGCACAGGACTAAGAAGAAAAGAAAAATTCTTACATCATCACCACCCCCAGAGACACCATCATTAATATGGTGGCATGTGTTTGCCCAGACTTTAGCCTGCTTTTAAAGTAGACCTCCCTCATCAACAGATCACTTTCCACAGTTTCAATTACCCACAGTCAACTGAGGTCTAAAAATATTACAGGGAAAATTCCAGAAATAAACAACTCGAACTTTTAAACGATTTTTATTACAGTATATGGTGATAATTGTTCTATTTTTATATTAGCTATTATTACTAAACCCTTACAATGCCTAATTTATAAATTAAACTTTATATAGATGTGCTATATATAGGAGAAAATAGTACATATAGGATTTGGTAATAGATATAGTTTCAGGCATCTGCTGTGGGTCTTGAGGTATATTCCCATGGATCCGATTGTCAAGGGGCTGCTGTATAATATATCTAATAAATGGCCCTGGGAATTCTGCTTCCATAATCCCTCCCCACTGAGTCCTCATTTCTCCTACTAGACTAGCTGTGGTTCACATCTTCTGTGTGCATTCTTTCTTGTCCAACTGGTAAACTCCTATTTATACCTCAAGACCCAGCACCTCCTCCTTCATGAGTGTACTAATCAGCTTTCCATTACTGTGACAAAATCTTGAGATAAGTAACTTATAAGAAGGAAAGGTTTATTTTGGCTCATGGTTTCAGAGGTTTTGGTCTATGGTCTCCTCACTATATTGCTTTAGAACCTGTGGTGAGGCCCCCACATCATGGTGGGGAGCACAGTAGCTCACTTCATGGTAGACAGAAATCAAAGAAAGAGATAGGAAGGGGTAGGGCAACCCAATATCCCCCTTCAAGGACATGTCCCCAATGGCCTAACTTCCTTCCACTAGGCCCTGCCTCCTACATGTCCCAGCACTTCCCAACAGTGCCACAGGCTGGAGACCAAGCCTTCAACAAGGGCCTTTGGGGGGACACTGCAGACCCACACTACAGCAGTAGAAGGGAATGGGTTTCTCCTTCTCTGCCTCTCTGCTCTGTCTAGACTGTTAACATTTGCTGCTCTGTATTGCATTTCTCTGCCTTCAATGCAGCCTCACTTCCCAGTGTAGGATATGAGCTGCTTAAGTTCAGATAGAGTCCCCTCCAGCTCCACAGCCCCCTCACCTAACATGTGCCTAGTCAGGGGGAGCAGCTCTGGAAATGACTTTGGAGTGAGTGTCTCCAGGGACAGAGGAGGGCCTCACCCCTACCAGCTCTGAGAGGTCCCTGAGACACAGGACCTCTGTCCAGTTCATTCAGCCTGATGGGCCCACCTGCAGGGCACCATTATTCTAGCAAATTCAGCTGGTCTCAGGTTGAGGGTTAGGAGATAAACTGGGGTGAGATGGGGGGCAGGTTACATTATGTACATGCAGATTTAATAGCTTTCAATCTGGTCATGGTTCAAGGATACCAGCATAGTCTCCTGCTGGAAACTGTGTTCCCTACCTAGGTGATAGTGCCTGAAATTTCAGCACTTTTCTCTCTCTCTTCCCAGTCCTTTAAAAAAAAAAAAAAAAAGTGCATCATCAGGAGACCACATTGAGAACCTAGGGACTATAAGCTTTGTCCTGTGTCCCCAGAACAGTCTGTCCCCAATTCCGGAAATATGAGTTTGGTGTCTGCACAGGCGGCCTGACCTCACTGGAGGATTACGCAGAGCAGCTGAAGGACATGGTGACCTTTGTCTTGGACTGCAGCTTCTCACTAGAAAGAGCCTTGGGCATAGTGGGGCTCTCCAGAAGAAACCCAGCAGGTCTCAGCCATGCTGGAGCATACAAGGTAGGAACACAGCCTCCCGGCAGCATGGACTGAAAATGTGGACAAACTTTTATTTTCCTGTGGAGAATATCAGCATAGGAGGCAGAAAACCTAAGCTCTAGCCCCCAACTCAGCCACTTTCTAGCTGTGCAACCCAAGAAAAGCCAATATACCTCTCTGAGCCAGCCTCTCTCCCACCCACCTCCGATACTTCTGTAGCATCCAGTGTGGCCCTTCTTGGTGGCTTATTGAAGCTGTGTCAATCTAGTTCATTTGGAATTTGTCAGCCCTTTTTAATTTAGTGCACATTAGCAAGAGTTTGAAATCCCTCGTTCAGGTGTGCACCATCTCAGGGGGGAAGTGGCTGGCTGTGTTAAGACCCAGGGATTTGTGGTAGAGCCTTTCAGCCAGGCTGCTGGCTGCTGTGTTGTCTCTGTTCGGAAAGCTGGGTCATGTTCTTGGCTGGAGTTGTCTGCTGTGTGGTCACAAAGATAGCAGGTTGGCGTCTCCTGGCATGTGCCTGCTGTTAGGTGCTGTCCCTTGCTGAACCTGAGCTTTCCTTCCAGAGAGTCCCTTCCTTAACTGACCCCTTGCTGGATGCTGTTTGGAAAAGTTCGAGAATTCACTTTGCCAGATCCATGGTCAACCAGTGAACACAGCTGGTCTCCAGGTTTCTCTGTTTATGGAAGACTCAGATTGGAGATTTTGTCCTGAGCTCTGGAACATTTATTAAAATGTCCTGGTTTGGGATTGTGCCAGAGTCCTGAGCTGCCTCTGATCAGAGGCAAGGCCGCCCACAGCCTGCACTGCCTTTCACAGTGAGCCATTTGCCTCAGGTTTCCTTAAAGCTAGGGAAGGGTGGGAGCCGAGCCACATCTGCTGGCTGGGACCCATAGCAGGGTCCAGCCATAGAACACAACATCCTTTATAGCAGGTAATAGCTGGGCAGGGTCTTGTGGCTCATTTGAGAGGAAGAAACAAAGGCCTAGAGAGTGAAAGACCAGGGACTTGATCAAGTTCCCAAACCAACTGGAACCAGACCCCTGGCCTGCACCTTTAAAATGTCACTCAAAGAGGTGTGATAACTGAAAGTTGCCTTGCACAGCAGTGTGAAAGCCATAGTAAGTGCTCACTATGCCCGTTGTTGCTTTTCCACAACATCTCATCTCATGGTTATCACACAACTTTCAGTCTCAGAGCCACCCTTCTGCCCCTTGGCCCTGTGAGAGATGGCCAGGCAGCCATTTTGGATTCCATTGGCGTCTTGGACGGATGAATCAACCCCAAGATGGAGGTGTCTCAGCCTTGGGTAGCATCACCTGGCTCTGCAAGTGGCCCTGCATGTGCCTTCTTCCCCTCCCTGGGACTGTCATGAAGACACCAGGCTGGCAGCATGCTGAAGTTTCATCCTGCTGTTGCCAGGGTAGTACAGCAAACCCTTTAGACAGAGGCCAAGGCTGTCCTAGGGGATTATAGTCCTGGCCTCTTCCTAAATCTTTCATAAGCCCCACTGCAGGGACCAGAAGCCATTCAGGAGTGGGAAAAACATACTGCCAGAGAAAGTCACCCAGGTCATCCTGGGTTAGATGGGAGCAAGGCCTAGACTCATGAGTCTAGGGACAGGCCTCTGTCCCCTTGTGTAGTATCTGGAAGTGTCGCAGACACTAGTTCCCCTGGGATGTTTTTCTCCCTTGGGTCTCTCTACTTCTGATTTTCCTCAGAAGTTATTGCCCTGTGGTCCACAGCCCCTCAGAAGAACCGTGAAATAGGATGGAAAAAAAGTATTGTTTAATTTTTATAATCCTCCAATTAAAATTCAGCATTTCCTTCCATTATAAATGTTGGCAAAAAATGACCATTGGATTGGCAGACTCTGGAACTTTGTGGCTGCCAAAGAAAATCAGTATTTTCATATCACAATACAGTTCTCAGTATCTCAAAAATACCCTATACGTTGATCACTACCTCAAAACAATGATAGTAGATCTGCTGTCTTGTTCCTCTAGCAGTTAGCAAAAAATATGCATATTGTTGTATTCTGTTTTTCCAGAACTTGATATATTACATTTGTACTATAATTGGAATCTTATGAGTTTTCTTTTATGTAGTTAAAAACATTACTTTGGCCAGGTGTCCCATAGCTGTACCAGACTACCAAAGGGGTCTGAGGCACATAAAAAGTTAGGATTCCCTGTTTTAAACCAGTAATTACCAGCAAATCTGCCCATCTCTATGACACCTAAAAGTAGAAGGTGTATTTTTGTAACAGCTACTGGGAGCTCCTCCTTCATTCAGCTGCCATGAACTCTTGGTGCTCAGGGCTTGGATCTGTGCTAATTCCATTCTTTAACATTTTTTATTTGACTTGTCAGACAACAGTGCCTTGTGCCACTGTGGCTGAGTTCTGCTGCCCTCTGGTGGTCACAATGAGGCCCATTCCCAAGGACAAGCTGGAAAGGCTGTTACAGGTCACTTGCTCCATGGCAGGTGAGCAAGGACAACCCATCCACATTGGCGACCCAGGTCAGTGTCCACCCTCGTTTGTGACTTCAACTTGGGACATCATTGCTCTGTCCCCAGGGACCTCAGAGGTGAAGGCTCTGGTTGAGGCCCAGATGCTCCAGCATATATCACGGTTGGGTGCCCTTAGGTTTAGAGGCACTGCCCTTGGCAGACCAGCCAGCCTCATCCATTGAAGAACTTTGATCTACATAAAGCTCCTATGAATTTCAAATGATCCAGGGACAGGGAGAGCAGAGGACGGCAGCAGGACTCTGTCCCAACATTTGAACTCAAAGCTTCCTCTAATCTGGGCCACCACTGGTCAGCGTGTATGTGGAAAGGAGAAGGCTCTGTTCCAGACTTTCATTGGAACTGAGATATGATCCCCAGAATATTAGCTCAACCTGAAAGTGAATGAGCAGATCCAAGGGTGAAGGATCAAAATCTAGGAGCTACCCAGACTTCTTGGTGCTCTCAGAGAACCCAATGGGAGCTTGGGGTTGGCCCTGGGTGACAGCAAGAGTTCCATGAACTCTGAATTTGCTCTACTGTGTAATGAATGAAATCATGCATATCCTGGAATTCCATAAAAACACAGTCAGCAATTGATGTCTTTGCCATATAAAGATAATCTCAGCACCACACTGAGGAAGGCATCTGCTGAATAGTTTTATCATTACTGGGGACAGGTTGGACAAGGTACTGTCCTTGCCAGCACCTTGGTAGTCAATGGCCAGGGTTAGGGCTGCTGTTGGTGGTAGCAACAGTTTAGGGCTCATGACTTAGTGTCATGTGACCTAGTCTGGAACAAGATAAACTTATAAATGCTGGCTTTGTCAGCAGTCTGTGCCATAAAAGTATAGTACTATAGTGGTCAACATGGACCATCAATTATGGAGGGCCCTGATTTGTAAAAGCCTTGCTTCCTAGTCTCCTCCCCCCTCCTTCTTCCCCTTCTCCACCCATTTCTCCCCTCCTTCCTCTCCTTTTTTTCCTCCTCCAAATCAATTTAAGATAATCCTACAACTAATGTACCTTAGAGAGAAAGAGTAAACTATTCAATGTGTCCCACTTGGCTAATACCTGCCAGGGGAATTACATTTTCTTTTTCCATCTTCAGAATTGTTGGGAATCAAAGCACTTTCCAAACCTGACTATGGAAATTGCGTGGAGTGTCAGCCAGAGGACGTCCCAGTGTTCTGGCCTTCTCAACTGACCGGTCTTGAAGCTGTCATCAGCTGCAGTATGTTGGGGCATAATGAGGCAACTACTCTGACCTGAAATGGAACCCAGTGGATCTCCAGTTCTTGAAAACCCAGGCTTATAGTACAATGACAGAAAATATAGGCCTGCCTACAGCCTGCAATGACTATCTCCCTGCCTTCTTTCTTTTGATCCAGGGCTGTGGCTCCTCACCTTGTCTTGTAGCTCAAATACTTTTTTTTAATGGTACTAGGGATTGGACCCAGGACCTCATGCTTGCTAGGCAAGCACTCTACCTCTTGAACTATGCCCACCCTTTTGTTTTCATTTTGATTTTGTGATAGGGTCTTGTAAACTTTGCCAGGGCTGGCCTGGAACTCAAAATCTTCCTATGTTGCTTCCCATGTAGCTGGGATTACAGGTATGAATTACAGTACCCAAATACTTTTTGATTGAACATATTTCCATATGCTAAAGCCCCACAGCCCATTCTAACAGAAGGATCAACCCTTAGGTTGACTTTTTGAGATATTTTGGAAGTTAGTAGAGCCTTGAAAACAAAAAAATGAAACCAAGAAACACATCTAAACAAACCATTTCACACTGTAGTTGTCCTTCAGGGTACTTTGGGAACTGGTTCCAGGATCCCCCTTGGATACCAAAATCCATGGATGCTCAATCTTCTTATATAAAAATCATGGTATTTATATATAAACTATGCACATTCTTCTGCATACTTAAAATCACCTCTCAAATAATTATGATACATAATATAACATAAATGCTTGTAAATAGTTGTTATACTGTGTTGCTTAGGGACTAATGACCAAGGCGAAGGTCTGTTCATGTTCAGTACAGGTGTAATTTTTTTTCTTTCAAATATTTTCAATCCACAGGGGGCCAACTATATTTGCAAAATTATTGAAAGTAATGCCATCAGTATTTTTTTTTCCAAAGGGCTAGGGTAACATTACAATGAAGAAACACAAGAGGGTGCACTTAGTAGCTCACAGAAAGACAAGAATGGAATAGAAGCATTAAAAATAATAACTGTTTCAGCCCATTGTCATAGACACTGCAAGATTCTGGCCAGGTCAGCCACCCTTGCACTGTAAAGAATTTAAGGGGATTGGTGGAGTGACTCGTGTGGTAGAGCACCTGCCTAGCAAGTGTGAGGCCCTAAATTCAAACCCAAGTACTGTCCCCCCAAAAAGAGTAGAATTTATAATGTTACTTTATTTTGAAAGCATTCCTGAGTTTGGCTATCAGAATGTCTTCATGATACAGAAAGGTTATCTCTAATATAGTGATGAGACATAAATGACAGATCCATGGGATTCTTCTTATTCATTGACTTAATATACATGTATTGAGCACCAATTGTGTGCTGTGAGCCCAGATTTGGGAATACTGCATGAGACCAGATGGCATCCTCAGGGAATCTTGCAGGCATTTCTAAATGAGGAGGAGGGTGGGTATCCACATCAGCGCATGTGCATTAAATAGTCCCCAGCACAGTGGACTCATCTTTCCTGTGACCAGCCCTGGGATACACCCTGCAAAATGGATCTCACTACTGTGGGCACCCCAACACATTCTAACCCATTAGTTTTATTTGTTGGTGAAGGAGAACAAATGACATCATCAGTCGGGGACAACCATGGATCATCCTCACACTTCAACATGTAAACTGCTATTAGCGATAGATTAATTGCTGCACCCCGTGCCATTGATGGGGGCAAAGTCTTGTGGTCTGAGCTGTACTGACCAATTTTAAGTGCTCTCCAAGACACAGAAAAATAATGATTGCATTCATCAGAGCCATTAATTCTTCCCTTTATATATCCTATCTAAAAGTTTGTATTGATCAGTAGATTTTGCCTTTGCAGTGTATACTGACTCTGGCTTTCTATTAAATCTAAGAAATCTTATGGTTTCTGTGAAATCCAAGAAATTAGTATTTATACAACTCACATTTATTGAGCACCTAATCTGTGCAAGGTGTTCCGTGAGATTCTAAGATACAAAAGCAATAGTCCCTCATCTTGAGCACATAGCTGAGTGGAGTTAGAGTACTCAAAGATGACAGTGATACTGAAGAAGACAGAAGGGGTAAAGAAAGTACAGAAACTATTACACACCTGGAAGTCAGGCACAAGGACAAAGGTAAGACCTGGTGCCTGACTGAATCATGTGAAATGCTTATTAAGATCTTACTCTGTGTAAGGCACTTTGCTAAACGCTTTTATGTGCATTTTCCAGTTTCATACTGGAAACTATGAGGGTCGTTACCATTATTTAGTAATGGAAGGGATATATAGAGAGAGGGTAATCTGAAAACTCAAGTGCAGGACTGGAGGTGTGGCTCAAGCAGTAGAGCACCTGCCTTGCAAGCACAAAGCCCTGAGTTCAAACCCCAGTTCTGCCAAAAACAAAAACAGATCAAAACTCAAGTGCATTTTCCACACTGAAGCCACTTCTTAATAACTATGTTAGAGTGTCTCACAGGGCCTGAAATCTAATAGGGGGAAGGAACACTTTTTAAAGAAAAAGTTAGCATAAAGCAAAGCAAAATATAAGTGCTAAGAGAAAAATAGAAGCTACATTTTTAGGACACCAAATCTAATGCTGGATGGGAAGTAAAGTGAGATGGATTCATGTATTGCAAGAAGGAAATACCTCTGATATCTGTGGCTTCAACTGGTGGAATCCCCTCCATCTGTGGCTCTGCCTCACTTCTTTTGTCATACTCAACTCCTCACTTTCCTAAGCATTGAAGGGAACCATTTATACCCATAAGCCAGCTTGTTCTGACTTTGGAGTCAGCACATAGCATAGGGATGGCTGTGGGTAGAGTGGTTGCCCAGTGCCATCTTGCCCATCCACAGTGGACGTGATGAGAATGGGCCAGGCTTGGTGCACTGGCTGGGCTCAGCACCCCCTGTTGTGTGTTGCAGAGGCTGCACTGGCTTTCACCAGCATGCCAGGTTGCACGGTTATGACCCACCTGAAGGATTCAAAGACTCCAGCTAGTTGTCTCACCCCTAAGACAGTTCCAGAGGTCCACCACATCAGCCAAGACCCTTTGCACTACAGCATTGTGTCAGCTGCAGCTGTGCAGAAGATCAGAAAACTAGAAGAAACAATTGCCATAGACCCAGGTAAGAAACACAGCATTCACACCTAATGGCCTAAAGATGTCCATCACTGATGATATTTGCAGAATAAAAGACAGGATGCAAACTGTATCCACAGTATGATTCTTTTAATTCTTATACTGTATATAATTTGGGATGGGGACCCTAGAGGGCTCTGATTCTTCCAATTAGGAAGAGGTTTGTGAGAGCTGGTTGAGAGCTTTTCCTTCCAGCTCCATCTACATTTAGGAGCCAAATTTCTAATCCCAGGAAGCCAGCAGAGGGCACTACTTCGCCCACTGTTGTGCAGGATATAGTCAGTTCATTTGTTGACCACCACTCAAGAGAGAATTCTGGTGTAAGCTCTGCTTCAGTTTCCTCGTAAGTGTAACAGGTCTACTGACAATTATACCTACCTCCAAGGGCTGTGGTAAGTGGTAAGAGGAATTGGTATCATCTACTGAGTTTTACTTTGTGTCAAGCATCATGCTAAAAGCACTTGAGTGTTTTATCTTATTAAATTCTCCTAGTGACTCTGTGAGACAGGCCTTACTAACTTCACTTTACAAAGGAAACTGAAGTACATAAGGTTAAACTTACCCAAGTCCCCATACACCTAAGGTGGTCAGGGCAGACCTTGAACCTACATCTGCTGACGCCAACCACCATGGTTCATAAATGTTGACTAATATAATCTGCATCTAGATGGTATATCACATTTTTGTCTGGCCAGTTAAAAGAATGCTCTAGCATCCCCTGGCTCACACCCCATTCCTTCTACACCTCACAGACTATGATCCTGAAACTGGGAGCTAACCCCCTTTGAATGTTTGGGGAAAGCTTATATGGCCCACCTGACTGCTGTTTCTTAAGAAGATACTGGGATCAATAGTGGTGGACCCCATGAAACATGGAGAAGTGAGGCCAGCTTGGGGAGGTGACTCTCTGAGCCAGACTCCCATGACCCACATAGAGCTGCTTCTGGGGACTGTCTACGGAGAACACACCTGGCAGGGCCATGGAGCAGACCACCTGGAGCCTGTCTTCTGTTGACCAATACTGTAGCTGAGAACCTGACAGAGAAGACCAGCCTTAGAAATGGCTTCTTCTCTCCTCTGGGGCTGGGAGCATATCTTCCCCACAATGACAAGGGTCTCTACAGCTACTAAACTTTCTGCTAAACCATGAGGAACAGCTCTTTGATTGACTGTTCATTCATTCATTCACTTGTTCGTTCACTAATTTTGTGGAGGATAATGGTTTCCTTTGCAAATAAGCACAATAAATTTGGGACCAATGCTTATCACATACACATCTTTGAGGACGTTCCCATGGCAGATATACATATGCTCTCCATACAGAGGGTCTCTTACATAGTTGACCTCCTGGGTGGATATGTCCATGTTATTTTCTCCCTCACAAGCATTCTTACCCAAGCTGATGGCTCTCCTGCTTAGCACAGGGTCATGAGGAAAGATGAATTATTAACTTGGCCATTAGCTTAAATTTTAAAAGAAGGAACTGGGAAGTAAATTTACTACAGACTCAGTTCACCCATTGCTTAATAAGGACAATCCAGAGGTCAGACTCACTCCCATGCACCAGTGCTCCTGCCAACTGTGGACTCAGGCTTACAGCCTGCGGCTCAGGGAAGGCAGATTTATGACTGTCTGGATGTGCTGATTTCATCCATTAAGGGCAATCTGCAGTCCTCAAGAAAGATAGGTGGTTTTGATTCCCACTATATTAAACACGCAGATATAAAATCAATGACAGTGTACAGTGTCCTGGGCATTACTCATCAGGCATAAAAATAGAGCCACTCTGTCATTCTTAACGGGACGTGGCCTTGCACTTGAGGTGCCTAGAGGATGTAAAGAAATACAAGATTTATAGTAATGATTTTTGCACGGGTGATAAAAATCATTATAATTGTCTTCACAGCTTCCAGTTGACCAAATTCTCTCTGTACTTTTCTTTCCTTTGGGGCTCACCATGCCTTGGGAAATAGATTATATTCCAGTTTTTAAAAATTGTTTTGTTTTTATTCTCCTATCATCCCTATTTCATGTTCATTGTAGAAACATTAGAAAAATACATGAAAAGTATCAGGGCGAGGTGGTGCATGTCTGTAATCTCAGTCCTTGGGAGGCTGTGATAGGAAGATCGTGAGTGTGAAGTCAACCTGGGCTGCATAGTAAGATTCTGTCTCAAAAGGGAGGGTGGCCAGTGCCAGTGGCTCATGCCTGTAATCCTAGCTACTTGGGAAGATGAAATCAGGAGGATTGCAGTCCTAGGCCAGCCAGGGCAAAAAACGTTTGAGAGACCCCCCATCTCAACAGAAAAAAACTGGGTGTGGTGGTGTGTGCCTGTGGGAAGCTTAAAATAAGAGGACACAGTCCAGGCTGACCTGAACAAAAAATGAGGCTCTATCTCAAAAATAATCAGAGCACAAAGAGCAGGAGTCATGGTTTAAGTAGTAAAGCACCTGCCTAGCAAGTGTGAAGCCCTTAGTTCAAACAAAGGTAGATGGTAGAAAGTTGTTGTTGACTCCTGTGGAATATACAAATCTAGGACACCAATCACCTTCCAGGCCGACTGTTCCAGTTCCCAGTTTCAGCAGCAGTAAATGAGAGGCCCTATCCCCACAACCTTCCTCTACCGTATCACCCCCGCTTCCCACTGCTGCTGGTTCTCCATATAGGAAAACCAAGGCTCAGAGAGGTCAAGGGACATGGCCAAGGACACATAGCTGTCACATGTAGTACTTGCACTGCAATTGTCTCCAGCTTCTAAATCCAGAACTGTTCATCCACAGTGAGAACCTGACCCCTGCATCCATTGTGTTCTTCATGTACCTTATCTACAAGCCAGTGCCCCCTCAAATCTCTTTGGCCCATCTCTAATTTCAACCACAGATGGGGGTAGGGGTGGTGTTCAGTTTGGAGTCACACTCTACCTCCATGTGGCAGGCACTGTTTTGCTCTGAAGTGAGCTGAGTATAGACAGAGGCAAGGTGGTATTGACAAGGATCAGGAGGTTTGCTGCCCAGCTGGGTCATACTGGTAGCCTTTGGTGGGCATTCCTAGCATGCACTACTCTTGCCCCACCCGTGTCCCCCCAAGTTTACTCTGCTTCACCTGCAGCTACAGTGGGTGGCTCCCAGCACGACACCTTAGGCTTGGGTCTTTCTGCTCCTCCACTCAAGGACAGTCTCTGTCCCCCAAAGGTTCCTCTACCACAGCAGGCATAGCTGCAGAGCACGGGGCATCAGCATCCTGATGATAACCTCCACCAGCAAGGAACAGAAATCAGTGGGTAAATGCGTAGTCCCTTATCCACTGATTAGGACCTTAAGGCATGTACCCCACAGTTTCTCAGAGGAGCTCAAGCAGAGATGAACCAGGTGCCTTGGGCATTAACTTGCTCGTTCACAGTCCTGCAATTTTTTTTCCTTCTCATTTTCTGACTTGCATTTTTTGGGGATAACTTCCCAGTCTAATATTTGTGCTGCCACTCCTTGTCTTAGGGTCAGTGAAGGCAGTATAATTTCCCTTCCTCCTCATATTTCTTTGCATTATTTAGGGTTTTTTGAGCTGCTGTAACAAATAAGCCCCAAGATACTTTGCTCAAAAACAGCAGAAGCCTATGCCTCCCCCACATAACAAGCTAGGGAAGATCTTCAGAGTGAGAGTTCTGGGTCAGGAAGAAGGAGCTGTGTTCCACCCAGCCACTCAGGGCCCCAGCAGCTCTGTCATCATATCATGTGACTCCCACGGGGCTCTAGTTGTCAAAATTCCAGCCCCAAGAAGAAGGAAAGAGCTTGAAAAAAATGCATGGGAAGTGTGGGGCCAGGCCCACAGGGCACCCATCACTTCTAGTCATGTTCCAGAGGGGAGCCAGTCTTGTGGCCACACTGTGAGGGAAGCTGGTCAGCCATCACCCAGTGGCCGTTTACTACTGGGGGAGGTAGGAGACAAGAATGTGGTCTGGTGACCAATATTATGTACTCATGTATGAAAATAGAAAAATGAGACCTGTTGAAACTATTCTAAGAATGGAGGGGAGGGGAGATAAAGGAGAATGATGGAGGAGAGAATTTAACTAAGATATACTATTAGCACTTTTGTAAATATCACAGTGTATCCCCAGTTCCACAATAATATGATAATAAGGAAAAAAATAAACTAAGGTTAGGATAAAAAAAAGATAATCACAGTTTGCCACATCCCTTCAATTGACTGCTCGAAGAAAAAAACAGGACTGGAGGAGTGGCTCAAGTGGTAGCGTGCCACTCGGGATCCCAGTCCCAATAAAAAAAAAAAAAGCAAACAGCAGACAATAATAAGCCCACAAAGTCAGAATACATTTCTACTTTGACACAATAACTCCATTTTAATTTTTTTTTATTTTAGGCAACCGAGGGATCGGGCACCTGCTGTGTAAAGATGAGCTACTGAAGGCCTCTCTGTCACTGTCCCATGCCCACTCAGTGCTGGTCACTACTGGGCTCCCTACACATTTCAATCACAAGCCTCCAGAAGAAACAGATGGCCCACCAGGAGCCATTGCTCTGGGTGCTTTCCTGCAGGCCTTGGGGAAGAACGTCTCCATGGTGGTTGACCAGAGAGCCTTGAGTTTGCACACGAAGCTTGTTGAAGACGCTGTCAAGCAAGGTGAGCATGACATGGGCTTAGTTTATTTCCCCAACAGGCCTTTGTGGACAGAGACTGGAGGAACCAACACATGCAGCCCTTCTGCTAGGCACCCTACTACAGGGTTGCACCCCTGTTACAGGGTGTTGTCCTCAGAGCTCAGAACAACATTTTGTCATAAGTAACATCATTTCTATTTTACAGAGAAAGAGACTAAGGCTCCAAGAGGTCCAGGTTATTTTCCCTGGGTAGCAATAGTGGGCTGAAATTTGAACTCAAGTCCACCAGGCTGTAAAACAAGTGATCCCTCCTGTATACCTGCAGTTTTCTTATGAGATGAGAAGTGGCCTGCTGACTGCTCTTAGCAACCCAGAGCAGCCCTGGAGCTGAGGAGGGGGAGGGGAGTATAGAGTGGTCAAAAGGTGCAGACAGCAGGGTCTCACCTTGTCCAGATGGGCAGGGATGCACCTAGAACACATGGCTGTTAGGACTGCAGGTGTTGAAGACATGGGGTGGATACTACAGTTAGCCACAAGGTCACCTTGGGCTGTGTGAAACCCTGCCCCTCGCCTCCCTTCCATCTGTAGGAAGGGTCGCTCAGGTACAAGGTAGAAGCCTAGTAAGTTGAATCTGCTTCCTACTACCTGTCTCCTTCTAGCATATAAAAGACTTCAATCCTAGTAAGGCCAACCTAAAGTATCCATCATGTGGAAGTTTCCAAAAGGCTGTTTGTACACCAGACTCCATCTCAGGCACAGATGTGCACTGAGCACCTACTGTGTGCTAGCACTGTTTCAGGGTCTTGAGATCCATCTGTGAGCAAAACTGACAATGTGCCTGTCCCCATGGAACATATTCAGTACTGGAGTGTGACAGACAAACCACATGAGAACAAAAGCAAATAGTAGGTTAAAAGATGAAGATGCTATGGAAAAATGGAGTTAGAAAAGGGAGATGGGGACTGAGGGGCCAGCAGTGGGCTGCTATTTTAAATAAAAGGGTCAGGGAAGACCTGATGGAGAAGGCTACAGCTGATCTCAGCTTGATCTTGCAAGCTGATGAGGGCTTGAGGACTGCAATGACTGAGGAAACAGTGTCCCAGGCTGCGGTATAGGGAGAGCCTAGGTAGAGGGGGTCGTGGCAGGTTCAAGAAAGGACACAGGCCTGGACTAGAAGAGAAAGGAAATCATACAGAGAGACTTATAGGTAACAGATAAAGCCAGATGGGGGAGGACTTCAAGGGACACAGTGGCACCGGGGGCCCCTAGGATCTCACTGAGTAGAAGAAGGCCACACTCTGCCTTCAGTGTGAAAGATCTCTGGCTGACACCAGAGATGGTCAGGCTACCAAGGGTGGGAGAGGAGGTGACCTGGAAGGGGCAGTGCAGCTGATTGAAACTAATACTGGGGAAGTTGGGCATCACACTGACCTGCTGACCCCACTACAAGCCAGGGCCCTTCAGGGCCAAAGCTGTGTGGAAATGCAGGGCTGATCCCTTCAGGCCACCCTCAGTCTTGTGGGGACAGGAGCTAGAAGATATGCCCTGACTTCTGTCTTTCAGAGACACACAGGTCTTGGTTGAACTGTGAGAACTTGAGCCCTACAGCAATGACCTTGAAAGTGTACCTTCCCTCCTGATGGTTGTCCCTCCATCCAGCCTGACTTTCCCTGTTGCCTCTCAACAGCTGCCTGGCCCCATCTCCCAAGAAACCACCTGTACGCTGGTCTCAGGTTCTGTTTTCAAGACATAGGTACAGGGGGAGATGGTGAGAAGTAGACAGATTTTGTATGCATTTGTGTACTGTGTCAATGTGATTTCTGGTGGATTAGATGTGGTGTAAAATAGGAGAATCAGGGATTACTCTAAGGATTTTGGCCTGAGTAACTAGGAGGATGGAGTTACTGTGAGGTAAGACAGCAGGGAAGACCATGGGTGGAGCAGGTTTGGGTAAGTCAAGAGTCTGGACTTGACATTTGTGCACTATTAGTGGCATTGTAAAATTGTGTTGGTGCTATGTAAAACAGTATGGCAGTTGCCAAATTATTAAAAATAGAATTAGGGCATATATACATGAAAATGTCACAAGAAAACTCCCTGTATAGCTATCTTAAACAAACAAAAATGTCATTTTTTTTAAATCAGAGAACAGGAGGGCAGAACAGGTCCTATCTGAGGGACTGGTACCAGTAGGAGAGGAGAGGATGTGGGGAAAGGGAGTAGGAGGGTGAATATGGTGTGAATACTGTGTACACATGTATGTAAATGGAGAAATGAGACCTGCTGAAACTATTCCAGGAATAGGGGGAGGGGAGATAAAGGAGAATGATGGAGGGAATGAATTCAACTATGATAAATTTGGTATATTGTAAGAATGTTTGTAAATGTCACAACGTAAAATAATTAAATAATTAAAAATAAATAAATAAATAAGCAAACAAATAGAATTAGGGCTGGGAGGCATGGCTGAAGTAGAACACTTCCCTAGCAAGAGTCAGGATCTGAGTTCAAACTCCAGTACCACAAAAAACAAACAAACAAAAAGAGTGTCATTTAAAAATGAATAAATAAGCTGGTGTGGTGACTCTTGCCTATAATCCTAGCTACTCAGAAGGTTGAGCTCATGGGGCCACAGGGCAACAAGTTGGCTAGACCCCATTTCAACCAAAGCTGGATGTGTTGGATCTAAACTGCCTGGCTCTCTGCTTTCTTCAGCTCTTCATGAAGACTATCCTGGGCCAGTGAACAAGCCAGGATTCCTCCCCAAACTTCTATGAGATAGATTAGTTAATGAAAACCAAATTAATTTTATTTTATCTTCCACATATTCTACAATATATGTTATTTTTGTAATTAGAAAAGTTGCTATTTTTAAGTGTCAAGTTAATTTTGGAAACCATTCCCATATAAGTAGCTAACCCAAGGCCTAGTCGCTTGGACTTTGTCTTGATTGTTCTTGAGCTCCCCTGAAGATATGCAGGGGTGGAGGGAAGCAGGTGAGAATCTGGAATCAGAATGGGAGTTGTGACACTGACATCAGTACTTGGCTTTGACCAAGCTACTTGGTGCCCCTGAGCCTGTTTTCTTCCTCTGTAAAATGCAAATAATAATGGTTTTTATGAAAATTAAATGACAGCGTGCATATCAGTGCTCAGCAGAGGCCTGGCACACTGTCACCCTCTCATTTGGGCACACAAATGCATACCTAGCACTCTTGATGGCAGTGGGCCAGAGCAGGCCTTCTGTTCACGTGGCATTAAGGACAACTTACATGCAACAGAGTCACTTGTCCCTATTGGCCTGATTCCACCCTCCAGCCCCTGCAAACTCTAGAGTTTGCTCAGAGCCAAAGATAGATTTAACATCCTAAATATCATAGCATTGTCTTACTAGCAAAGTATTCCACAAAGGGACATGTTCAATAATGCTCATGCTGTTCTTACCAAAGAGGCTCTTGAAAGCTAATGTCAATTTCCAAAGTGCGACCCCAGGGCTGATGTGTCTACCCTTTGCTTTTATTTTCAAGGTGTCCTGAAATCACAAATCCCAATATTAACTTACCAAGGTGGATCAGTGAAAGATGCTCAGGCATTTCTGTGCAAAGATGGAGACCCCAAGTCACCTAGGTATGCATGTCCCATCCTGGGTTAAGTGCATGGTGGCAGAAAAGCCCACATCTTCCTCATACTGCCAACTAAGTTTGCACAGCCCAGCCCTTGAGCGATAACAAAGCCAGGAGCCCAGGAAGAGAGGGGTTCACTAACACATGAAGTGGGGGGTCTTACATTGTACAGGGGGGCTTCACAGAGCATCTCTGGAAATAGCAGGTCCATGCCAGCAGGGAGAGATGATATGGCGTCCTAATAGAGAGAGGAGATGGGAGAATTTTTAATCTAAAAAACTAAGGCTAGCAGTCTCTCTCAAACTGTGGGGCATGACTCATTAGAGTCATTAGAATGACAGCATTTCAATTGGGGTAACCGGCACCTCTGGAAAATAAGACAGAAATAACACTGTACAGCTTGAATAGCAATACTAAGTGCTCTCTCATGAAACTGTGTGCTTCTTACTGTGTGTCATAGTCAAACCGTTTGAAAACTACCTGCTTATTGTATGTAGGGATGTGTTCCTTGTAATACAGTGTTTCTTCCAATACAGTGTCTTGTACACTTTTTTGGCAACAACACACAGAGCACATTTTGCACTGCAAACCAGTACACACACAGGTATAACTGGAACAGACGTTTCCAAAACAATATGACTCTCTAACATTGCAAGACACACACTAACTCTGTGTGCAGTGTGCTGTGATCTTTTCTGTTCTAGCTTGTTAAGTCCACTTTTCAAAAAATGCTGACCTGGTCCAACAAGTTTATTTCACAATCCAATAACAAATGGAATTTAAAAACACAGTGTTGTAGGCCTTGAGGGCATGGCTATATTACAGCTCCCAGAAGAATCTGGAGTCTGTGATAAAGATCCAGGGCCACCAGAGATCTGATAGGCTACCTAAAGCTTCAAAATGTGTGTAGCATCAGGAATATTGACATTCCCCAGAGATTACCAGGAAGGCATGTACTGGCTCCTGAGGGACAAACAAGGAAGGCCACTTGGTGGGACCTCAGGTGTCCTGTGTGTAATGTGGAGGGAGGTGAGCTGCATCTGCTGTGAGCAGAGGGGGGTCCTGCTGTCTTGGAGAAGATGAGTCAGTTCTCCCCTTGGAACACTGCCCACCATGGGTAAGTGGGTCCTTCTGAATTAAAAAGTCAGTACCCTTGCACAACACATCTCTGTAGTTCTCCCTCCAGAAACGAAGATGCTCTGGTCTCCTCCATGTGGGACTCTTGTTCTACCTGCCTTTTCTCCACAATGGAGGAGGCCTGTGCTCCACCAGGAGATTCAGAGCCCCAGCGGCTTCTCTGTTGATTCTGCTTCTCAGGGACTACCTCCTCCCACGGGCGTGCAGCATCTGGTGCAGTCTAAGACCACTTGGTGGCCCACCCTCTCAAGGGATAGGTGACATTCCACATTCTGCCACTACCAAAGGACCTGGATAGACATGAAGATTATTTTTTAAAATATTTATACAAAAAAAAATTCTGAGTTGAGTTCTTATTGTGGTAAAATACATATAGCATAGCATTTATTACTATTTTAACCATTTTTATTGGCTACCAGCATTTTGGAATTAAATACATTCATAATGTACAACCATCACCACAGCCATCTCCTAAACTCATCTCAAACTGAAACTTTACGTATCTAACACCTATTCCCATTCCCCTCTCCTCCCAACCCCTGGTAACCACCATTCTACTTTCTGATTCTATAGTACCTCACATAGGTGGAATTATATGATGTTTGTCTCTTCGTGACTGAGTTATTTCACTTAGCATAATGTTTTCAAGGTTCATCCATGTTGGAGCATGTGTCAGAATTTCCTGAATTTTTCAAGTTGAATGAAACACATTTGGTTTATCCATTCATCTATCAATGGGCACATGGGTTGCTTCCACTTTTTGCCTACTGTAAATAGTGCTGCTGGGAACACTTCAAGTTCCCACTCTCAATTCTTTTGGCTACATACCCAGAAGTAGAATTGATGAATCAAATGGGAATTCTTTTTTTTTATTCATATGTGCATACAATGTTTGGGTCATTCTCCCCCCTTCCCCCACCCTCTCCCTTACCCCCCCCGCCCCCTCCCTCTTCCCCCCACCCCCTGGGAATTCTTTTTTTAAATATTTAAATATATTAAATATATATTTTAATATTTTAATGACCACACTGTTCCCTAGCAGAATTGAGATTTTTGAAAAACTCCATCATGGTGGGACCCAGAGAGATATACAATTTCATGTTCTCAAATTGGATCAGGACACTCTTCCTGCTAACTGAAGCACCCACAGCACCTACAGCTGACACTGGCTGAGCTTTAAGTAGATGCAGGCTCCATCTCCATGACAATCTCCTTATCGAACCTTTCTATGCAGTGTGAGATCTGGGCTTGACCATGTCAGATGCAGAAAATGAGGGTCAGAAAGCTAAGCAACTCCTCCAAGACCAGTGGCAGGACGACTTGTACGGGGGCTTAGGAGATGGAATTCCACAACCACATCCTGACCGACATACCGCCTGAGTCCCTTATTTCTCCATTTCTTTTTCTTTTTTTTTTTTTTTTTGGTGGTACTGGAGTTTGAACTCAGGGCCTCACACTCGCTAGGCAGGTGCTCTTACAGCTTGAGCCACTCCACAAGCCCTGTGTCCCTTATTTCTCTCTCTCTTTCTCTCTAAGGAAGTTCCTCTTATGTTCAAGTCTTTCATTTCTCTTTTAAGTCCTTTTCTGACTCTTTTGTGTCTATAAAGTGAACAAGAGTCTGGAAGGTGGTAGCGATGGGCCCATAGCCACACTCATCTCCTCTGGGGCTGGCTACTCTGCTGGATAAGGGGCACTGAGTGAGGCACCAGCAGTGTCCCATGGTCACTGTAGTAACCCAGACCATCAGCCTCCTGCTCTCATAGCCTCTCACTCTAACAAGGAAAATGTTACAGACCCCAATGCTGTTTCATAAAATGATGTGACCAACGAACCCCAGGAGAGGCCCTGCACAGAGTAGGTGTTTAGTCAAAGAAAGAACAAAGAGTTCTTCCCACAGACACACAAAGGCCAGACCCAGCAAAGCTGTCTCACTCTCCATAAAGACCTCCTGCGCTTGCTTCCTGGCAGATTTGACCACCTGGTGGCCATCGAGCGTGCTGGAAGGGCTGCCGATGGCAATTACTACAATGCAAGGAAGGTGAACATCAAGCATTTAGTAGACCCCATTGACGATCTTTTCCTTGCAGCACAGAAGATTCCTGGAATCTCATCAACTGGTGAGTGGGGAATTCAACAAGCCTATGTTAACGCTAAATGTCTTTTTTATTGACTATTAAACACAAGACAGGAAAGAGTTCCCCACTCCAAAGATGGCCTGGGCTTGTCACCATCAGTCTAGATGCTAATGACATTCCCATTTAGAAAGGCAACTTCCTTACAGCAGCAAGGGAAGTGACACTTCTAGAGCTTATTCTGCTGGCTTAACTCTGAAGTAATAAAACTAATAATGAACTATTTTGATCACATAGGATAGAATGTATCATGTACCATTTAATGAAACATGTTAATTTTTAAATATATCAAATGCTTGATGAGTGTCATATTACCATTGTTAATAGTATAATAATGTGATAATTTGTGTTTGTACAGAATGTTATAGTTTTCTAAGAGGTTTTGCATCCATTGTATTGTGAGTTAGGAGATTCCTGTGAGTTATAAAATCATATAGTCTAAATAAGGCCTGAAGAGGAGTTCTGAGGTTGCCTAGCTAATTGGTGTCACTAGTAAAATTAGGAGCACAGTCCAGACTCCCAGGGTCCTATGCAGTTTTGGAATTATACCTTTTATGAAGTTCTAATGGTTCAGTATAACCCCCAAGGAGAAGCAGCAACCTGCTCTGGGGGTAGATCTCAGGCCCTAGGATAATTAAGGGCTGTCTGTGTTCTGTGTTATTTGTTCTCTCCATACAAACACTTCAAAGTATTTCCCAGACCCATTAGTCCCCTTTGGCGTTTGAGGTTTGTAGGAGACAATGAAAACCTTTTGGGCTGATTAGAAAGTTTCTGCAAATCGCTGGCCTTTCCCAGAAGAGGCGGTAGGTGTGGCATGCACAGTGAAGTTGGCTTGGTTGGTTTTGCACGACCTGTTGCTCTGGGCTGGGCAGGCAGAGGACCCAAGGCCTGTGGGGAGGCATTTCTGGGATAGAGAAGGAAAGGGTCTCTAAGTCCAAAGGTGCAATCAGCAATCAGGACCTCAGGAGCTACTAAATCATCCTCCTTCCCTCATGAATGAAGGCCAATCTGTACTATGGCACCTCCAAGATCCTGAGGACGCTGGTGGAGCTGGCTGTTCTTGGCTTTGAACTACCCCTTTAGTGGACCCTCAAACACTTCCAGGTGGTGTATTATTTCCCAGAGTTCAATGGGCTGTCACTGATCTAGAAAACTGTTCTGAAACGTTAAAGCGACAGAGGCCAATAGGAGAAGGGGACCAGGAACTACAGAAAAGGTTAGTTCGAGAAGAATTAGGACTGGGGCATAGCTCAAGTGGGATAGCACTTGCCTAGCAGGCATGAGGCTCTGAGTTCAATCCCCAGTACCACCAAAAGAGAAGAATTAATTTAGACGGTTAACACACATGTACAGGAAAGCAATGCAAGTCAACTCCCTGTATAGCTATCCTTATCTCAACCAGCAAAAACCCTTGGTCCTTCCTATTATTGCTTATACTCTCTTCAACAAAATTAGAGATAAAGGCAAAATAGTTTCTGCCTGGTAGCAAGGGGGTGGGGGGAGTGGTAGGGGGCAGGGGGATAAGGAAAGGGGTGAGGGAAGGGGGGAGAAATGACCCAAACATTGTTAGAACATATGAATAAAGAAAAATTTTAAAAAGAAAAAATAAAGAAAGAAAGAAAAGAAAACTGTTCTGAGAAAAATCAGCAGGGTGTGAAAGGGAGACATTTGATATATCATCCCATTCAGTAAGTGGGAGCCACTCAAGAGGAGTTCCTGTCACCATACCCTAATCTCCAGTGGGTCTGGCACCACCACCAAGAGGCTACAGAAAGGTGACCCAATAAGGGACATGCCTACACTCTGGTGAGTTCCAAACTTGAACTTATTTCCAACTAGAGAAGTTCCTAGTGAAGGGGAACATCTCTTGCTTGTCAGAAACTATATCCAGAGGCAACCACTGGGGCCACAAGGCACATGTAGAGGGGTTGCCTTGCCTTACCCCCATTTTGCCCCAATTCTGTGTACTGACTCAGTTTCCCTTCCCTTCAGGGGTTGGTGATGGAGGCAATGAGCTTGGGATGGGCAAAGTCAAGAAGGCCATTAAGAGACACATACGAAACGGGGATGTCATTGCCTGCGATGTGGAGGCTGACTTTGCTGTAATTGCTGGTGAGTACTTGCATACCTGCCCCCTGGGGAAAGAGTCTGATCAGGTGTGCTAGTCACTTTTTTGTCACTGTGACAAATACTTGAGGGAAACAACTTTAAAAAAGAAAGGATATATTTGGGCCATGGTGTCTGGGGTTACAGTCCATGGTGGGTTGGCTCTACTGTTAGCAGGCCTGTGGTGAGGCAGAGCATCATGGTAGAAAAGATGCATATTTCACAGTGGCCAGGAAGCAGAGAGAGGAAGAGAGTACACATCTTCCTGGCAGGCTGCTTCTTCAGCTCTTGGTCCATCTGGGCCCCACACTATTGAATGGTACCACCCACATTTAGGGTGGGTCTTCCCCCTTGGTTGCTGTCTACCATGTCAGTCATCTCTAGAAATACTTTCACAGATACACCTAGAAGAGTGATTTACTTGTCTCCCAGGCATTTTGTTTGTTGTTTGTTTGTTTGGTCTTTTCTTTTTTTGGTGTTAGGGATCAAACCCAGGGCCTCATGCATGCCAGGCAAACATTCTACCACTGAGCTACATCCCAGCTCTCCCAGGCATTTCTTAATCCAATCAAACTGATAGTCAAGATAACCATCACACCAAGGCAGAAGCTTTTCTTCTCTGTCAGAAAATCCAAGAAGACACCAGAGCAGGGAAGAGGCCTGGTTCTCAGCCTCTGACTTCTCATTCAGCCATTCAGCAAACATTTTTGTGTGCCAGGCATTGTTCTGTGTGCTATAGTGGTGACAACCTGCTCCATAGAACTTCCACTCTAGAGTTAGAAGATAAATAAGCCTTAACAAATAAGTGTACCAGGCTTCTGGCCCTGGGAGCTGCCATGCACCTCTGTGGTGACATTTGACTTTCGCAGAGGTTATTCATTTCAATACCCCCACCCCCAGGACAGAACATGCAGGAATTGTAAAATTTTCAGATGTAAATTGGGCAACCCTAAACATGACTCTTCCACTGAAAACCTACCCTATGCACATTAAATGAGTATACCAGATTGTATGGCAATATGAGCTATGGGGGCAATAGAAGAGATAGATGAGAGAAAATGACATGTCAACCATTTTGGATCAATGGTCAGGGAGGCCTCTGCTTTCATCTGTGCCTATAGCATGGCAGACAGGAAGACAGGGCAAGGGACAGGCTTCCCACCTCTCCTTTCACTAGCTTCTGCCTTGGGTTACCCTGCCCCTACTGCTATTTATTAGTGCCTTAGGACCAACCTTTCCTGTGTCCAGGTCCTTCAAGGCCTGGCTTGCCTTGGCCTCACCACAAGTTTCAGGAAAACTGACAGATACCTGAGAAAGGATCTCCCTCTTCATGATCAGAATTAGTCTAGGGTAGAGCAACTCACCTTCACATATACACACATACCTGAGAGCCAATCTAGGGCAGGAAAACCTGAACTATGATATGAAATAACTGATGGACATTCAGTGTGGACATGCTTGAGAGTTAAAACCTCCAAGGGACCCAGTCACACAAAACCCCCATTCTTTTGTGAGTTTTTCTTCTGGGAGCTCAATCAGGGTCTCACAGTAAATACAGAGGAAAATCCCCCTCCTCTTTAGGGCAGGAAAAAGGGGAAATGGAACTATTTTGAAATAAACCAGAGCATCCTGTTCTTCTTCACAATATCTGAGGAGCTATTTTACCACAGGAGAAACTATTTTACCACAACCTCTTGGGGTTTTTTCAGTCTAACCTGTTGAGAGAAAGGAAATACTCCAACGTAACTTAGCCTTCTGTCCTACCTAAGGGGATGTGGACATAACTGAGACCCTCTGGTGATGCCCACAGTCAAGGGGTGCAGGCTCACTGAAATGGTCTGAACTCATGCAGGTGTTTAATCTCCAAAGTCTTAGCAGAAACCTTGTGTTAATGCATTAAGAGGATGGAAATTGCCAGGCATGGGGCCAGCCTGGGCTATGTAGCAAGACTAGTCTCAAAAAAACAATCAAAAATAAAGGAGAAGGGAAACTTAATCCAACTGTGATATTTTAGGTGGGGCCTTCAAGAAATGATTACATTTGACTAGGTCATTAGAGTAGAGCCCCTATAATTGAATCCTGGTGAGTTTTTAAGGAGAGGGAGAGAGACCACACACAGAGATGCATAACACATACACACACATACTCGTGCAAGGACATGATGCAGCTATGGGTCATTGGAGAAGTGGGAGCTCACTACAGCTTGCACCATCCTGTTTGGATTTCCAGACTGCAAAACCATGAGCCAAAGAGACTTATCTCTTTTCTTTATAAAGTAGCCTGCCTTGAGTATTTCATTATAGTAATGAAATGATGACTAATATACTCACTGAAAGACTAATACCTATTCATAAGACTCTAGAACCTTTTCCCTCCTCCCACATCTTACCCTCACATTACCAAAGGCCCTTTTATTGTAGGGTTTTTTTTTTTTTTTTTTGCGGCATTGGAGCTTGAACTCAGGGCCTATACCTTGAGCCACTCCACCGGCCCTTTTTTGTGATGGGTTTTTTTGAGACAGGGTCTCACAAACTATTTGTCCAGGCTGGCTCCAAACTGAAATCCTCCTGATCTGTGCCTCCTGAGTAGCTAAGATTACAGGGGTGAGTCACGAGTGCCCAGCTATTGCAGATATTTTTAACCAAGTATGTTATGTCCTCCTTTCAACAAAAATTACAAAGTAGCCATGCTCCAGTAGTTCATACCTGTAATCCTAGCCAGCTACGTTGGAGGATGAAATCAGGAAGATCATAGTTTGAGTACACTTTGGGCAAAAAGTTTCCAAGATCCCATCTCAACCAGTAATGGGTGTGGTGGCTCATGCCTGCCATTCCAGCTACTTGGAGGCTGAGATTGGGAAGATTGCAGTTTTAGAGCAGTCTGGACAAAAAAGTTCATGAGACTCCATATCAAGAGAAAAAAGATAGGTGAAGTGGTATAGGCATGTCATACCAGCTACAGTGGGAAGTATAAAATAAGGGATCACAGTTCAGACTGGCCTGGGAAAAAAGTGAAACCTTATTTCCAAAATAACCAGAGCAAAAAGGGCCACAGGTATAGCGCCAGCAACAAAGTGCCTGCTTAGCAAGTGCAAAGCCCCGAGTTCAAACACCTTAACACCAAAAAAAAAAAAAAAAAAATTCTAAGATACACAAAGTCACAAAAATGCGGTTTGGAGTCTGAGCAAGCATCAGAACCAGAGTTAACATAATGTTGGAATGTTCAAACCAGAAAAAAATGTTAAAGTATGGTTAATATGCTAAAGAATTTAATAGAAAAAGTAGACATCATGCAAAAACAGATGGATAGTGCAAGCAAAGAGATAAAAATTCTAAGAATCAAAAAGAAATGAGGAGGAAACAGGAGGATAGTGAGTAGGAAGCTACCCCAGGCAAACATAGACCCTTTCTGAAAAAACAAACAAAAGGCTGGGAGATGGCTTAACTGGTAGAACATTTGCCTAACATGCCTGAAGCCCTGGGTTCAATCTCCAGTATTGCAAAAAAAAAAAAGGCAGAGATCTGTAATACCATAATAGAAATGAAGAATGCCTTGGTGGGCTCATTAGTAGACTAAGCACAGCTGAGAAAAGAATGTCTAAGCTTGAGGTTATGGCAATAGAAACCCCCGAAACTGAAAAGCAAAGGGAAACAAAAAAGACTAAAACAAAAGAAATAGAATAAAATATCCAAGAACTGTGTGACAACTACAAAAGGTATAGCCTATGCTAATGGGGATACCAGAGGAAGAAAGAGAGAAACAAAAGCAATGTTTGAAGCAGTAAGACCAAACCATACATCCAGGAAGCTCAGTGAACAATAACCAGGATAAATGCAAAAAAAAAAAAAACCCCAAAAAACTACACCTGGGCATATCTTAGTCAGATTTCAGTCAACCAAAGATAAAGGAAAAATCTTAAAAGAAGCCAGAGGGGAAAACCACCTTACTTACAGAGAGCAAAGGTAAGAACTACAGTTGACTTTTCAGAAACCATGCAAACAAGAAGAGTAGAATGAAATATTTAAAATGTAGAGACATTAAAACCAACTTAAAATTCTGTAGCCTGTGAAATTTCCTTCAAAAGCAAAGGAGAGACAAAGACTTTCTCAGACAAACAAACTAAGGACATTTGTTGCCAGTAGACCTGTCTTGCAAAGAATGTTAAAAGAAGTTCTTCAGAGAAAAAAAAAATTTTACAGCTCAGAAACTTGGATCTGCATAGAGAAAGGAAGAGCATCAGTGCATAAAATAAGCAAAAGTAAAATAAAACTTTTATGTTTTTGATTCTTGATAATAAGATAATTGTTCAAAATAATGACAACAATGTATTCCACTATATATGCTATGAGTATGTATGTATATATGTATACATATACATGTATGTGTGTGTGTGTATATATATAGATGTGAGATGAAGGATGGCAGTGACACGAGGGATGGGAGGGAGGAATGAGGAATATTTTGTTATTATAAAGTGCTTGTGCTACCCATGAAGTGTGGTATAGAGCTTTTTGAAGGTGAACTTGGATTGATTATTACATTAGTCAGACTTTTCATCACTGTGAAATAGCCAAGAGACAGTTTAAAGGAGGAGAGATTGGTTTTAGCTCATGGTTTCAGAGGTTTTAGTCCCTGGTCATCTGGCTCCATTATTTCTGGTCTATAGTGAGGCAGAACATCATGAAGTAGGGCTTATTAGAGCAGAATTGCTCACCTCCTGACAACCAGAAAGCAGAGAAAAGAGAAGGGAAGGGCCCAGGACAAGACACAGCCCCAAGTACATTTCTCCAGCTAGACCCCACCAACTAAAGTTTCCAGAGCCTCTCAAAATAGTGCCAACATCTGGGGACCAAGCCTTCCATACGTGAGCCTATGGGGGACACTTCAAATTCAAACCTTAACAATTGTGAATATGTACTGGAAAGTCTAGGGAAACCGCTAAGAAAACTATAGAAAACAGTATGGAGGGTCATCAAAAAAAACCTAAAAATAGAACTACCATATAA